ACACCTATGCACGTTATTTAGGAAATTTACGGTAACAATCTTCTTATTACCGTAGAGCATTGCCCAAAAGACCCGGGGCTAATACAAAATACCCATCAAAAAACTTACAAAAGACGCGGGTATATTATACTGCAGCAGATCTTTGTCGCAAGGAAAGAAAATTTTCAAGTATATACATATTCCGCATTTACGATAAGCAGTTTAGAATTTTAAAAAAACCTATATTTAATTAATAGAGATCTCATGTTTTGCGACAAAGTATTTTGCATGGGGGTACTCAAAAGGGGGCCTTTTGGCAGTGCTCTACGGCAGTTGTCTCCTTGAATGATGTAAATCAAATTGAACGACAAAGAAAATGTCATTGAAGAAGTGTTTAGAAACGCGAGTCCTCATCATGTCATATGAAATGATAAATAACACATTTGTTCCACAGTGTCGAGGAAATAATTGAAATATCTCCCTAACAGCAGACGTATAGGCGTAAAGTGCTCCACATCTCTACTGGAAGGATACTTCATTATTTCTGCTGACCTGGGAGATCAAAATTTTTATTATAATTATGAAATATCCTAATATAAGAGTCCTTACGTATATTTGATTCGATATAAGGCTGTTGAGAATATCTTGGTCTACCAAAGTAGCTTAAAAAATCCGGAATTATATTATACCTGATTGTTCTAGTAAATCTCCAAAAATATACCTATAATTTTTTTTAACACGTGTAAATTGCAAACACAAATTTTCAAAAAATATTAAAAATACATACAATTATGTCACTTTTAGGTTGTGATAAATAATACGCATTTTTCCCAGCAAGTGATAGGTCAAACGGAGTAAACGTTGATGGATCACGTAAATTAGGATCATATTCTAAATCATGATTTATCTTCATATTATTGCTACCCAACTCATAAGCAACAAAGATATGTCTTTATTTTAAAAAATCTTGCCTTTATCAAGTGCAAGCATCAGCAAAGAAAAATTTTGTTTGGAACTATTATATGCTGGATCCATGATAAATATTTCAAGATCAATCATTGCTGCTCCCGTACTAGGTGTTACATTGTAATCGGGTAAAAATGCTCCAGCATAAGGACGAGAAGGCGAAGAAGCATCATATATAGTTTTATTGATATAGTTGCTACACCCATGAGGTTCTAAAAAATAATTTTATTACGTGCTTGGCGTAAAAACCATAGTAATGATAATGAAAGACTCACCTGGAGTATCTGAGGTATCTATGCCATTAGTCAAAGAACATTCGATGGTAAAATTATTTTCATGAAGAAAATAGATATCTAAAAAATTTTCACGTTATATATATATACAGTCGAACCTCCCAAAACTGATCCTGTCAAAACTGATAACCTGTAATAACTGATACAAAATTGAG